AAGAGAGAGCAAGAGAAAATGCAAATCTTGCCCCAATGTATCATCCAAAATATAACGAAATATAACTAGGCCTCACTATGTATAAATATGACTTACCTCTATCTGTCAGTAAAGCTGTGCTAACAGGCATTCTCTCTGCCATATTCTCTATTTCACTGGAAACAAGTAAACTCTCGTCCTCTTGTTGTTGGCACCATTGCTAAAACGAAAAAAAAAAAAAAAAAAAAAAAATCCTACTGAGTCTTTACATGCTGTTGAATGTAATGATTCACTTTTGTACAGAAATGCTTTCTTATGGCTGTAATGTATATGTTCACTTTTGACTTGATAGCAAGAAAAAAATTATTACATTTTCTTTCCGTGTCTGTACTCAACTTAATATAAAGTGATTGCTTCATTAGTTTAAGACAAATGCTACGGAGACTGCCGTAAATGTCTTCTATATCACAAACACAGATAAACACACATCCCCAGGTTTGCCATTCAATGCAGGCCAGTACATAGACACAGACAAGTACACTCATATACACTATCACGTATAAATAAATATGAACACACCCACCTACACCTATATGAAAATACACACACAGACACACACACACTCTCTCTCTCTCTCTCTCGTGCAAAATAACTTACTAAAACAGAAAAACTCACGTGATCATTTCTGGGTTTACTCAGTAGAAAACATCCTATGTATTGCATTACCAAGAAAATCACACCCAATGCAATAAAGACACCAGGCACTCGATTCAACAACTCTGGGTCTTTAAAGTACCTGTCCGATAAATGTATAAAAATCAATATTCTTGTACTAATTTGTGAGAATCAATATTTCTGAGCCATTGTCTCTTTGTATATTCATATTTTTTCTCTCAGAAAAAAGTTTGAGAAAAATGGAAAAAAAATGTGAACAAACAGGATAGATGTAGAAACGGATGAAAAGAGAGGAGAGAGAGAGGGAGAGAGAGAGAGAGAGAGAGAGAGAGAGAGAGAGAGAGAGAGAGAGAGAGAGAGAGAGAGAGAGAGAGAGAGAGAGAGAGAGAGAGAGAGAGAGAGAGAGAGAGAGAGAGAGAGAGAGAGAGAGAGAGAGAGAGGATGGAAAGGAAAGTAATTATGTCATAGAAAAAAAAAAAAAAAAAAAAAAAAAAAAAACTAACTCACCCATCTTTTTCAGGCGGTAAGTTGTCTGGATTCAGGTACATAGTTTGAAAGTTAGTAGAACCTAAAGCACCAAGGCCAAACCCAGCGACAATCATCCCATTGATAAAACCTTTCCGATCTGGATACCACTGCAAGAAGAAAAAATTAATAAAGTTGTACCAACTTCATAAGACTGTCTTATACATTACCAAAATTACCAATATAAATAATATGTAGGAAGTTTTTAAAATAAAGTAATATCTATCACATGGTACAAAATAGAAGGAAATATTTAAAGTATTTTCTAAATGAAGTATGCATTATATTTCATGTAAAAAGAAATAAAGCACCCATCCAGACTGCATAAACTATTAAAGCTGACTGAACAAACTTTCCCAAATCACATCTTACAAATCTGTGGCCATTAAGAAATAATAATCATCTACAAACAGTAAAGAATACATAAAAAAACAACAGACTTACAAACAAAACAAAACAAAAAAATCCCACACACTCTGTTGCATCTTATCTGGTAGGTAAAACAATAAAACCTGTTACCTTCATGCCACAAGCAAGGGGAGTAACATAAGACAAGGATATTCCGAGCCCAGACAACAGCCCATATGTCATGGTAACAGCAAAGAGCGATACTTCAATGGTATAGTGGGTCAGCATGATACCAGCGCTGAAATGAAGCCAGTTTATGGGATTTATAAGACAATGCAAAGAACACACTAAACCATACTAAACTGTGGGTTAGGCAGTATCAACATTCGGACAAAAACTTCTATAATAGTTTCTTTGATATAATGTGTAGCTAACAAGCTTATACTGTATAGATACACAGCAAGGCTGCTACAAAAGTATTATCTATGTAGCAAAAAGCTTTTAAAATTGGAGAAGAGAGTGATAGAGAGAAAGAAAAAAAATTTACAGAAAGGTATGGAGAAGAGAATGACAGAGAGAAAAAAAATTACAGAGAGGTATGCTTCTTCTTTCTCCTAAATCATTATGAATGGAGTGAAAACAGTCTTAAATATTATATAGAAACTTTAGGCTTATTTTACTAAGACCAAAGCAGCCTTAAGAAGACGTGTCAGTGATTTTTACAGACTGTACTTATATTGTGAGTTTCTCCTCTGGATAATCTTATACTGTATTCTTTTGAATCTTTATGTGGGTAATTGAGGCCCTCAAAGGATATGGAGAGAAGAGGGTGATAAAGTGAGAGAGATAGAGAGAGAAAAAAAAAAACAAAAAAACAGAAGGTATGTTTCTTCTTTCTCCTAAATCATCATGAATAGAGTGAAAAAAGTCTGAAATACTATTTACAAACTTTAGGCTTATTTTCCTAAGACCAAAGCTACAATACTGCAGCCTTAAGAAAATGTGTCAGTGATTTATACAGACTGTACTTATATTGTGAGTTTCTCTTCTGGATAATCTTATACTGTATTCTTTTGAATCTTTATGAGGGTAGTTGACGCCCTTAAGGCATATGCTAGCATTTATATTCTTTATGACAATCATGCTAAAACATTAATTTTAGCATTCAGGTAACAAAGCATATGTGTGAATGAACCATTGGTGACTAACTCCTTCACAAATTCCAAATTCTCTTATCAAAATGCCCATCATACATGTTTAAAATAAATGGATCACTGCAAATTTGAAGAGGAATAATTTATCAATTTCTATATATGAAGCTAGGAATAGGGACTCCAATGTAAGGTTTATTGCTTATACATGTTTACTCATACAAAAAAATAAAAGAAACTCAATAGATTTTATAAAAGGAATCACGAAGTATTGATATTCTGTAAATGCTGAGCTTACATGTGCCACATAATAACTGATTATCTTGATTAAGACGTATAAATAATGAGATTATTATTTTTGGCTTTGTGCAAGATATTCTTATAAAAGTAGTAGTTTTATTGTTAAATTACATAATCAGAGAACAAAATCATTGATCAAATCATCGATGCCAGAACATGAATGAGGAAAAATCTTAGTGATTGCCTTTAAAAAATGTGCATTCACATGCCTTTTAAGAAAAGCAGTTTCTAAATAAAAAATGTTAGTAATAAAAATTCCTAAGCATAAACACGCATGTTAATCTATTCAAAGATTTACTTGATGCAAAAAATATATGATGATAATTGACAGAGCCCATTTTTACAATAAAAGTACAGACCATTGTAAAAAATTATGAGCTAGCACTGCCTTACAAGTTATAACAATTTCTTCTAGTCAGTCAAAATCGTCATGCACACAAAGTTCTCATGAAAAATCAATGCACTGTCTGTTTACATGCAATTTCAATCATTATCAATTTTTTATCCTTGCATTGCATAATCAAAGGCCACATTACCTCCTCTCCACTTTTAACAATAATTTGAAACTCACACTGACATTAAATGCTTGCTCTGTATTGTCAATAACATGATAGAGAAAACTTAACATTGGTTATTTTTATTTTAAGAACATTAAATTTCCCCTTTAACTCCAAAGGAGTCTCGGTCAGAGAGAGAGAGAAAAAAAAAGTTTCATTACTTTGATGTATGTTACTGAAAATTACAAATAATTAAATATTTCTCAACACTATTAATAAAGCTCACAAACATATCAACTAACATGGGTAACAGAGAAATATATACACAGAAAACAGACAAACAAACAAAAAATATTACCTGAGTAAGGTACAGCCCACAAAACAAGTGATTTTAGGCCCAACTTTCTTCTCCAACAGGCCTCCAAATACCATAAAACAGCCCTGAGCTGCTGTAGTTATAGAATTCACCCATATAAAGTTTCCATAATCGATACTGGAATCAACTCTGACGTGCATATAGGAAGCCATATATGTCATCATATTGCCTGGTAATGTAAAATACCATAGAGTTAGAAGCAAATAATAAAAGCAGTTCAACATTTTAAGGTAGAAATGATGAATGTTAAGAAGACATTCATGTGTCCATCACTGGCTTTGCTGCCCTAGCAAAAAAAAAAAAAAAAAAAAAAAAACAGTATATTCTGACAAGATAGGGGTTATAAAATACTCTGATGATTGATTTTTGAGCAAAGCACCTGTGCAAGCTTGTGACTTTGGATCAAAAAGGCAAATATAATCACAAAAAGAAAGTTCTAACCTTAAAGTACCTATTTGTATATTCTAAAAATCTATCAAAGGCAAACTAGATCTCTTTTCAAAGTAACTGCTTAAACAGCAATTATGTGTCCGAGATGTATCTCACTTAGAAAAATTGTCCTTAATTATTAACATATTCTGAAATAGATGTATATATTCTAATTCAATTTATAATATCTGTTATAGAGCACTTTTGTATTTCATATTTACCTTAACATGCTAACCAGGAATTCTATAAACCTAGTAATCATGTCATGGAAGCACTAAGCTAGAGCAAATTAAAGATGATATTTTTATAGAGGACACATAATTGTAATTGTAGGTACAGGAAATAATCTGCAGATATGAATGGTAATGCCACAAATAAAAGATCATGGAAAGCACTGTTCACAGCTGAGGTCCACTCGGTCCTCCCTAGTTTTAGCTCTATCTTGCCGTACAGACAAAGGTGAAAAGTGTTTTCCGGTGGGTGTTGATGGGGAAAAGCTGCCCCTCAATCCTCCCCTTGGGTAATGAAATGAACACGCAGTCACAGCAACTTAGATTGTTAAATAAATTTTGTGGAGTTGGGGACTTAGTCTCTGGAAAGTGGATCCCTACAATGAAGAAGTTACAATTTCTAAAACTGATGTGATTTTTTTCTTACCAAAACTGTAGAGATTGCCGAGGGTGAGATGAATTAGGATCCCTCCAATCACAGCTGCTATACCTTTAGAGCACATTTTTGATAATAGACAGTCTGCCATCTTGAACTGGCAAAAGTGCACTACACTCTAGTCCTAAAAAATCTGCAAAGAAATGAAAAATTTTCAGAAAAGTATTATCATAAAAATAACAATGGTATTCCCATATAACATAAATATACCAGAGAAAATATAATTAATCAAATATGCTTCCTTTCATCATATATATACTACCTACCTACTTCATAACATATTAGTACCAATAAAATAATCACATAAGGAAACACGTATAAAACTTTCCATATGCATCCAATCCACTTCCACCTTTTCCTCAGTTTCCAACATTTTCATTTCACTAAAATGCATAATAAACTTACCCAAAGAAGTGTTCCTCCCCCGATCTTTAGGTCTCAGTGCAATTTTGATCCATAATGAGAGAGCAATAATTTCCCAGATGTTTTCCTCTACTACGAGACATGTGACATTTCGGATGTAAACAGAAGTAGGTTTGTTTACGTACTCGAAGGCCACTCAGCGAGCGTATTCACGATAGCTCCATGACGAATAGGCTGCCAAAAGGATTTAACAGATGCTTATTTTCTGTTTATATACTAGTAAAGCGTTGAACTGCGATTGCTTTGCTGAAGTTAACTGATGACTATATGAATACGACGTAAAAAACCTTCGGCAGGTTATCTGTGACACCCTTTATAAGTGGGTGTCACAGATAATAGTCACAGATAACATATTAGCTGAATGTGATAATTCCCAGTCAATGGATAATTATCTTTTTCGCTGGCAAATTTCCCGTTGGCTCTTTTGTTAAAATCATACGAAGTGGTTGTAGAAATGGAATAAATCCGTGCCGCTTAGCCCGAAAATCATATTGTGGAAACAGATCCGTTTCTCTATCTCAGAATCCACCGAGGTTGGATTGGGTTGGTTAGGTTGGATTGGGTTGGTTAGGTTGGTTGGAGGTTGGGTTTGGGTTTTAGGTTGGTGGTTAGGTTGAGGTTTGGTTGGTTTGGTTGGTGGTTAGGTTGGATTGGGTTGGTTAGGTTGGTTGGGTTGGTTATTGGTTGGGTTGGTTGGTTAGGTTGGATTGGGTTGGTTTAGGTTGGATTGGGTTGGTTAGGTTGGATTTGGTTAGGTTGGTTAGGTTGGTTTGGGTTGGTTAGGTTGGATTGCTGGGTTGGTTGGTGGGGGTTTGGTTAGGGTTAGGTTGGTTGGGTTGGTTAGGTTGGATTGGGTTGGTTAGGTTGGTTTGGTGGTTAGGTTGGATTGGGTTGGTTAGGTTTGGGTTGGTTAGGTTGGATTGGGTTGGTTAGGTTGGATTGGGTTGGTTAGGTTGGTTTGGGTTGGTTAGGTTGGTTTGGGTTGGTTAGGTTGGATTGGGTTGGATAAGTTGGTTAGGTTGGATTGGGTTGGTTAGGTTGGATTAGGTTAGTTAGGTTGGATTGGGTTGGTTAGGTTGGATTGGGTTGTTAGGCTGGATGGGTTGGTTAGTTGGATTGGGTTTGGTTAGGTTGGGGTTGGTTAGTTGTTTGGTTTGGGTTGGTTATTGGGGTTGGTAGGTTGGTTTGGGTTGGTTAGGTTGGTTTGGTTAGGTTGGATTGGGTTGGTTAGGTTGGATTGGGTTGGTTAGGTTGGATTGGGTTGGTTAGGTTGGATTGGGTTGGTTAGGTTGGTTTGGTTTGGATTGGTTGGTTAGGTTGGATTGGGTGGTTGGTTGGTTGGAGGTTGGATTGGGCTGGTTAGGTTGGATTGGGCTGGTTAGGTTGGATTGGGGGTTAGGTTGGATTGGGTTGGTTAGGTTGGATTGGGTTGGGTTGGATTTGGGTTGGTTAGGTTGGATTGGTTTAGGAGGGTTGGTTGGTTGGGTTGGTTGTTTGGTTAGGTTGGTTGGTTGGTTAGGTTGGATTGGGTTGGTTAGGTTGGGGATGGTTAGGTTGGATTGGTTAGGTTGGATTGGGTTGGTTAGGTTGGATTGGGGTTAGGTTGGATAGGTTAGATTGGGATGGTTAGTTGGATTAGGTTGGGTTAGATTGGGATGGTTAGATTGGATTGGGTTGGTTAGATTGGATTGGGTTGGTTAGGTTGGATTGGGTTGGTTAGGTTGGATTGGTTGGTAGGTTGGATTGGGTTGGTTAGGTTGGATTGGGTTGGTTAGGTTGGATTGGGTTGGTTAGGTTGGATTGGGTTAGTTAGGTTGGATTGGGATGGTTAGGTTGGATTGGGTTGGTTAGGTTGGATTGGGTTGGTTAGGTTGGTTTGGGTTGGGTTGTTGGGTTGGATTGGGTTGGTTAGGTTGGGGTTGGTAGGTTGGATTGGGTTGGTTAGGTTGGATTTAGGATTAGGTTGGATTGGGTTGGTTAGGTTTGGATGGTTAGGTTGGATTGGGTTGGTTAGGTTGGATTGGGATGGTTAGGTTGGATTGGGTTGGTTAGGTTGGATGGTGGATTGGTTGGTTAGGTTGGATTGGGATGGTTAGGTTGGATTGGGATGGTTAGGTTGGATTGGGATGGTTAGGTTGGATTGGGTCCGTGCCTCCAAGAAAGAAATTCATGTAGAAACGGATCCGCTTCTATAACCTTTGCCAAAACCATAAGATATGACAGATAATAGTTGTAGTACTGCAAAAAATCTATATATAATATAAAGCGATTCAATAAGTCTAAATTGTGAATAATATAAGAAAAACGGCAAAATTCTCACTTCTATTTATTAACAGATACAAGTTAGTAACTAGCTGCTCGCCTGTTTGTTTGCATTTGTGTCCACGTTCCCCCGACCCCTGACTAGATGAGAGCAGCGAGTAGACAGTGTTATATAGCATTATAAATTCGGTGTTTCGCATTAAATCGTCGCTTCATAGCCAGAAGGACGTTATCCTTCATAGCCAGAGCCTGTGCGGGGGTTGGAGCCTTCTTGCTGTGTTTACAATTTTCATCAGACTGCTTCCGTGGTTCTCATCGCTAGTGTGACTGCGCGCAGGGTCTATACAAGTACTTATATAGACCTTGACTGCGCACACCAAAATGACTACGATTTCCGTGGTGCCAGCGGAAAAGCTTAGCGGAAAAAGTCCAAGTGTGACACTTAAATGTGTATATTATCATATGTATTCCCGTTCTTATGACTTCATTGTTTTACCACACTCAATTATGTAGTCACCACATCAATGGTAGCAGGGTAGTACCTTGTGGTCTACAATTAGGCTACCTGCTGTCATTATTTCTTACGCACATTTCAACAAAAGTAATAAAGGTGTGATTGAAATTCCCTTGGAACCGACACTGATTTGACGAAAAAGGAAAGAAAGAAAGAAAAGAAAGGAAGGAAGGAAAGAAAGAAAGAAAGGAAAGAGAGGAAATAAATGAATAAATGAATAAATTAATTATGAAAAAAGAAAGAAAAGAAGAATAAAAAAGAAAAAAGGGAAAAAAAAGAAAAAAAGGAAGAAAAGAAGAAAGGACGGAAGGAAGGAAAGAAAGTAGAAAGAAAGAAAGGCAAATGTTACAGGGATAGCAAATTCAGTGGTTTATCAGCCAGATAGGGTATCTAATGTGCATTCACAAACAGAGATTCGTTAACAGTTTCTGACATGACAATAGAAGGGGAGGATAGCAACAAGACAAGGTAGACGGAGGGAATAGGAAAGAAAGGCAAGATGGGGTAAAGATCTCGGTGGCACAGGATACACGTCAAGTTTGGCATTTTCTTGTAAATTGTTACAAATGCCATTGTTTTTATCAATTCTATGGCTTATCAATATGAGAGGTAATCAGGCATGAGTTTTGCGCGTTGTCTCACACTATTTTTTTTTAAATATAGAATAATATAAGCGTCGAATTATGAATTTGCTTTTTTCGTTTTATAATTGAGGAGAACATTTTTATCACATAGCCACACACCTTTTTCATGTGATTCATAATTTTCATTTGTTTTTGTAAGTTTTCTGGTGCAGTATGATTATACACATGGATTTTGAAAACGTGTTATCTGCGTTTTTTTTTTTTTTCGTGAGAGTCGTGGAGGACGTGGGGGTAAAAAAAAGTAAGAGCCAGCTTGTAATGGCGATAGTAAGAACGAAGCAATCGTGCCGTTCTGCCCTCAAGGGTGACTTAAGGAGTTCGCAGCAACAATTGCGGTTTAGCACGATCGTGCCTTGTAGAGGTAGTGAGGACGTGCGGCATTGTTGCGACAGCTGTGCGATAGACACATAACGGCGCAGAAAAATCCACGGCAAAAGTATGACGCGCGGGCGTTCCCTTTACGCCGTCAATTTCAGCGCTCGTTTGGACGCAATTGCCGTACTGTCGCCGCACGTGCTTTGTAAATTTTTGGTGTTGAATGCATAAGGCAAAATGAACGCCATCTTCATAATGATAATAACAATAACAGTAACCGTGATAATAATCCAAAACCGGCCCTTCAATCTTCATCTCCTGTCTCAAAAGAGCCATTCATACCTCTTGGCACTCCTTTGTTTAGTCCCTCTCGCACTGGGGTAGGCCTATGGGAGCCACATACTTGAGATTTGAGTCTTTTCGTGGGGGGGGGGGGACTGTGGTAAAGAGTAGATGTAGGTATGCGTATTGCTTTCATGAGTGAGGGAGAGGCATGTGTGAATCTTTTATGGATGAGGGAGAGGCATGTAAAATCCTTTCATAAGTGTGGGAGAGCCATGCGATTCCTTTCATGAGTGAGGGAGACATGTGCTTCTTTTCATGAGTGAGGGAGAGACGTGTGTTCATTTCATGAGAGAGGGAGAGGCATATGCTTCCTTTCATGAGTGAGGGAAACACGTGTATTCCTTTCATAAGTGAGAGGGAGATATGTGCTTCCTTGTATGAGTGAGGGAGAGACATGTGTCTCCTTTCATGGGTGAGAGAGACACTGTATGTTCTTGTGAGTGAGGGAGAGACATGTATGATCCTTTCATGATTGAGGGAGAGGCATGTGCTTCCTTTCATGATTGAGGGAGAGGCATGTGCTTCGATTGAGGGAGAGGCATGTGCTTCCTTTCATGATTGAGGAGAGGCATGTGCTTCCTCTCATGAGTGAGGGAGAGGCATGTGCTTCCTCTCATGATTGAGGGAGAGGCATGTGCTTCCTCTCATGAGTGAGGGAGAGGCATGTGCTTCCTCTCATGAGTGAGGGAGAGGCATGTGCTTCCTCTCATGAGTGAGGGAGAGGCATGTGCTTCTCTCATGATTGAGGAGAGGCAGTGCTTCCTCTCATGAGTGATTGAATGATGAGGAGGGCATGTGCTTCCTCTCATGAGTGAGGGAGAGGCATGATGAGTGAGGAGAGGCATGTGCTTCTCTCATGTGAGGGAGAGGGCATGTGCTTCCTCTCATGAGTGAGGGAGAGGCATGTGCGTGAGGGAGAGGCATGTGCTTCTCTCATGAGTGAGGGAGAGGCATGTTCCTTTCATGAGTGAGGGAGAGGCATGTGCTTCCTCTCATGAGTGAGGGAGAGGCATGTGCTTCATGAGTGAGGGAGAGGCATGTGCTCTTCATGAGTGAGGGAGAGGCATGTGCTTCCTCTCATGAGTGAGGGAGAGGCATGTGCTTCCTCTCATGTGAGGCATGTGCTTCCTCTCATGAGTGAGGGAGGCATGTGCTTCCTCTCATGAGTGAGGGAGAGGCATGTGCTTCCTTCATGATTGAGGGAGAGGCATGTGCTTCCTTTCATGAGAGGGAGAGGCACGTGCTTGAGTGAGGGAGAGGCATGTGCTTCCTTTCATGAGTGAGGGAGAGGCATGTGCTTCCTCTCATGATTGAGGGAGAGGCATGTGCTTCCTCTCATGAGTGAGGGAGAGGCATGTGCTTCCTCTCATGATTGAGGGAGAGGCATGTGCTTCCTCATGATTGAGGGAGAGGCATGTGCTTCCTTCATGAGTGAGGGAGAGGCATGTGCTTCCTCTCATGATTGAGGGAGAGGCATGTGCTTCCTCTCATGAGTGAGGGAGAGGCATGTGCTTTCTCATGATTGAGGGAGAGGCATGTGCTTCCTTTCATGATTGAGGGAGAGGCATGTGCTTCTCTCATGATTGAGGGAGAGGCATGTGCTTCCTTTCATGATTGAGGGAGAGGCATGTGCTTCCTTTCATGAGTGAGGGAGAGGCATGTGCTTCCTCATGATTGAGGGAGAGGCATGTGCTTCCTCTCATGAGTGAGGGAGAGGCATGTGCTTCCTTTCATGATTGAGGGAGAGCATGTGCTTCCTTTCATGAGTGAGGGAGAGGCATGTGCTTCCTCTCATGATTGCGGGAGAGGCATGTGCTTCCTTTCATGATTGAGGGAGAGGCATGTGCTTCCTTTCATGATTGCGGGAGAGGCATGTGCTTTCCTTTCATGATTGAGGGAGAGGCATGTGCTTCCTTTCATGATTGAGGGAGAGGCATGTGCTTCCTTCATGATTGAGGGAGAGGCATGTGCTTCCTCTCATGATTGAGGGAGAGGCATGTGCTATGATTGCGGGAGAGGCATGTGCTTCCTCTCATGAGTGAGGAGAGGCATGTGCTTCCTTCATGATTGAGGGAGAGGCATGTACTTCCTCTCATGAGTGAGGGAGAGGCATGTGCTTCCTCATCTGCATTTCATGATTGAGGGAGAGGCATGTGCTTCCTCTCATGATTGAGGGAGAGGCATGTGCTTCCTTTCATGATTGAGGGAGAGGCATGTGCTTCCTCTCATGATTGGGGAGAGGCATGTGCTTCCTCTCATGATTGAGGGAGAGGCATGTGCTTCCTTTCATCATGATGATTGAGGGAGAGGCATGTGCTTCCTCTCATGATTGAGGGAGAGGCATGTGCTTCCTTTCATGATTGAGGGAGAGGCATGTGCTTCCTCTCATGATTGAGGGAGAGGCATGTGCTTCCTTTCATGAGTGAGGGAGAGGCATGTGCTTCCTCTCATGATTGAGGGAGAGAGGCATGTGCTTCCTTTCATGATTGAGGGAGAGGCATGTGCTTCTTTCATGATTGCGGGAGAAGGCATGTGCTTCCTTTCATGATTGAGGGAGAGGCATGTGCTTCCTTTCATGATGAGGGAGAGGGCATGTGCTTCCATGATTGAGGGAGAGGCATGTGCTTCCTCATGATTTGCGGGATGTGCCTTCCTTTCATGATTGAGGGAGAGGCATGTGCTTCCTCTCATGATTGCGGGAGAGGCATGTGCTTCCTTTTCATGATTGAGGAGAGGCATGTACTTCCTCTCATGAGTGAGGAGAGGGCATGTGCTTCTTTCATGAGGAGGAGAGGCATGTGCTTTCTCATGATTGGGGGAGAGGCATGTGCTTCCTCTCATGAGTTGAGGGAGAGGCATGTGCTTCCTTTCATGAGTGAGGGAGAGGCATGTGCTTCCTCATGATTGCGGGAGATGTGCATGAGGAGGAGAGGCATGTGCTTCCTCTCATGATTGAGGGAGAGGCATGTGCTTCCTTTCATGATTGAGGGAGAGGCATGTGCTTCCTCTCATGAGTGAGGGAGAGGCATGTGCTTCCTCTCATGAGTGAGGGAGAGGCATGTGCTTCCTCTCATGATTGAGGGGAGAGGCATGTGCTTCCTCTCATGAGTGAGGGAGAGGCATGTGCTGCCTTTCATGATTGAGGGAGAGGCATGTGCTTCCTCTCATGAGTGAGGGAGAGGCATGTGCTTCTCTCATGATCTGATGAGGAGGGAGAGGCATGTGCTTCCTTTCATGAGTGAGGAGAGGCATGTGCTTCCTCTCATGATTGCGGGAGAGGCATGTGCTTGAGTGAGGGAGAGCATGGTGCTTCATGATTGAGGGAGAGGCATGTGCTTCCTCTCATGATTGCGGGAGAGGCATGTGCTTCCTTTCATGATTGAGGGAGAGCATGTGCTTCTCTCATGATGAGGAGAGGCATGTGCTTCTTTCATGATGAGGGAGAGGCATGTGCTTCCTTTGAATGATTGAGGGAGAGGCATGTGCTTCCTTTCATGATTGAGGGAGAGGCAATGAGTGCTCTTCTCTCATGAGTGAGGGAGAGGCATGTGCTTCCTCTCATGATTGAGGGAGAGGATGTGCTTCCTCTCATGATTGCGGGAGAGGCATGTGCTTCCTTCATGATTGAGGGAGAGGCATGTGCTTCCTTTCATGAGTGAGGGAGAGGCATGTGCTTCTTTCATGATTGAGGAGAGGCATGTGCTTCCTTCATGAGTGAGGAGAGGCATGTGCTTCCTCTCATGAGTGAGGGAGAGGCATTGCTTCCTTTCATGAGTGAGGGAGAGGCATGTGCTCCTTTCATGATTGAGGGAGAGGCATGTGCTTCCTCTCATGAGTGAGGGAGAGGCATGTGCTTCCTCTCATGAGTGAGGGAGAGGCAGCCTTTCATGAGTGAGGAGATTGAGGGAGAGGCATGTGCTTCCTTTCATGATTGAGGGAGAGGCATGTGCTTCCTCTCATGTTTGTGCTCCTTTCATGAGTGAGGGAGAGGCATGTGCTTCCTTTCATGAGTGAGGGAGAGGCATGTGCTTCCTTTCATGAGTGAGGAGAGGCATGTGCTTCCTTTCATGAGTGAGGGAGAGGCATGTGCTTCTTCATGAGTGAGGGAGAGGCATGTGCTTCCTTTCATGATTGAGGGAGAGGCATGTGCTTCCTCTCATGAGTGAGGGAGAGGCACGTGCTTCCTCTCATGAGTGAGGGAGAGGCACGTGCTTCCTCTCATGAGTGAGTGAGAGGCATGTGCTTCCTCCACGTGCTTCCTCTCATGATTGAGGGAGAGGCATGTGCTTCCTCTCATCATGATTGTGCAGAGGGAGAGCACGTGCTTCCTCTCATGAGTGAGGGAGAGGCTGCTTTCCTCTCATGAGTGAGGAGAGGCATGTGCTTCCTCTCATGAGTGAGGGAGAGGCGTGCTTCCTCTCATGATGAGGGAGAGGCACGTGCTTCCTCTCATGAGTGAGGGAGAGGCACGTGCTTCCTCTCATGAGTGAGGGAGAGGCACGTGCTTCCTCTCATGAGTGAGGGAGAGGCATGTGCTTCCTCTCATGAGTGAGGGAGGCACGTGCTTCCTCTCTGAGTGAGGGAGAGGCACGTGGTGAGGAGAGGCACGTGCTTCCTCTCATGAGTGAGGGAGAGGCACGTGCTTCCTCTCATGAGTGAGGGAGAGGCACGTGTGCTTCCTCTCATGAGTGAGGGAGAGGCACGTGCTTCCTCTCATGAGTGAGGGAGAGGCACGTGCTTCCTCTCATGAGTGAGGGAGAGGCACGTGCTTCCTCTCATGAGTGCTTCCTCTCATGAGTGAGGGAGAGGCATGTGCTTCCTCTCATGAGTGAGGAGAGGCACGTGCTTCCTCTCATGAGTGAGGGAGAGGCACGTGCTTCCTCTCATGAGTGAGGGAGAGGCACGTGCTTCCTCTCATGAGTGAGGGAGGTGCTTCCTCTCATGAGTGAGGGAGCATGTGCTTCAGTGAGGGAGAGGCTTGTGCTTCCTCTCATGAGTGAGGGAGAGCACGTGCTTCCTTCATGAGTGAGGGAGAGGCACGTCTTCCATCATGAGTGAGGGAGAGGCATGTGCCTCTCATGTGATTTCCTCATGAGTGAGGGAGAGGCACATGCTTCCTCTCATGAGTGAGGGAGAGGCGTGCTTCTCTCATGATGAGGGAGAGGCACGTGCTTCCTTCATGAGTGAGGGAGAGGCACGTGCTTCCTCTCATGAGTGAGGAGAGGCATGCTTCCTCTCATGAGTAAGGGAGAGGCACGTGTTTTCCTCTCATGAGTGAGGGAGAGGCACGTGTTTCCTCTCATGAGTGAGGGAGAGGCACGTGCTTCCTCTCATGAGTAAGGAGAGGCACGTGTTTCCTCTCATGAGTGAGGAGAGGCATGTGCTTCCTCTCATAGTGAGGGAGAGGCACGTGCTTCCTCTCATGAGTGAGGAGGCACGTGCTTCTCTCATGAGTGAGGGAGAGGCACGTGCTTCCTCTCATGAGTGAGGGAGAGGCACGTCTTCCTCTCATGCACGTGCTTCTCTCATGAGTGAGGGAGAGGCATGTGCT